TCTTATAAGTATGTCATAATTATGACTTTTCATCTTATAAGTATGTCATAATTTTGACTTTTTATCTTATAAGTATGTCATAATTATGACTTTTCATCTTATAAGTATGTCATAATTTTGACTTTTTATCTTATAAGTATGTCATAATTTTGACTTTTCATCTTATAAGTATGTCATAATTTTGACTTTTTATCTTATAAGTATGTCATAATTATGACTTTTCATCTTATAAGTATGTCATAATTATGACTTTTCATCTTATAAGCATGTCATAATTATGACTTTTCATCTTATAAGTATGTCATAATTTTGACTTTTTATCTTATAAGTATGTCATAATTTTGACTTTTTATCTTATAATGTCATCATTTTGACTTTTTATCTTATAAGTATGTCATAATTATGACTTTTCATCTTATAAGTATGTCATAATTTTGACTTTTTATCTTATAAGTATGTCATAATTATGACTTTTCATCTTATAAGTATGTCATAATTATGACTTTTCATCTTATAAGTATGTCATAATTATGACTTTTCATCTTATAAGTATGTCATAATTTTGACTTTTTATCTTATAAGTATGTCATCATTTTGACTTTTTATCTTATAAGTATGTCATAATTATGACTTTTCATCTTATAAGTATGTCATAATTATGACTTTTCATCTTATAAGTATGTCATAATTATGACTTTTCATCTTATAAGCATGTCATAATTATGACTTTTCATCTTATAAGTATGTCATAATTTTGACTTTTTATCTTATAATGTCATCATTTTGACTTTTTATCTTATAAGTATGTCATAATTATGACTTTTCATCTTATAAGTATGTCATAATTTTGACTTTTTATCTTATAAGTATGTCATAATTATGACTTTTCATCTTATAAGTATGTCATAATTATGACTTTTCATCTTATAAGTATGTCATAATTATGACTTTTCATCTTATAAGCATGTCATAATTATGACTTTTCATCTTATAAGTATGTCATAATTTTGACTTTTTATCTTATAATGTCATCATTTTGACTTTTTATCTTATAAGTATGTCATAATTATGACTTTTCATCTTATAAGTATGTCATAATTTTGACTTTTTATCTTATAAGTATGTCATAATTATGACTTTTCATCTTATAAGTATGTCATAATTATGACTTTTCATCTTATAAGCATGTCATAATTAAGACTTTTCATCTTATAAGTATGTCATAATTTTGACTTTTTATCTTATAAGTATGTCATAATTTTGACTTTTTATCTTATAATGTCATCATTTTGACTTTTTATCTTATAAGTATGTCATAATTATGACTTTTCATCTTATAAGTATGTCATAATTTTGACTTTTTATCTTATAAGTATGTCATAATTATGACTTTTCATCTTATAAGTATGTCATAATTATGACTTTTCATCTTATAAGTATGTCATAATTTTGACTTTTCATCTTATAAGTATGTCATAATTTTGATTTTTTATCTGATAATTTGTCTTACCAGAGCATGATTTTTTTCTTTTTGGCTTCCATAATGAAATGCACATGACATCAAGCCATTAACAAAATCAATTGCACTTCTAAATCCACATGCAATCTGTAAATGCGTGGATAAAGCGAGCTTTCACGGAAGTTGCACGGATGATAAATGATGTGCACAATAACGAGATCGGTAATTGGCTCCTTCTTTCACTCAGTGGAACAATTTACTCAATTTGCTCAAACCCGATGGAGTTGTTTGTCTGTGTGACGGGACGCTTGTTTGGAGAGATCACTGATCGCTTTAATGTCGTCACTCGTTTCCTTCATAAAGCGTCCTGGGAGAGGAAGATGTTTAACTTGAGTTATGGAAGTCCTGCGTGAGACGGGCTCTAGAATAAATCATCCACAGTGATCATCATCATCATCATTTACTCGGCCGTGTGTTGCTCCAGAACTGAACGTTGAACACATCTAGTTTTATTATACGTTTATGGTGTTTTATCATTGTTTAACAGCTGTTCACTATCTATTCATTTGCAAAGAGAGTTGACTGTTAATAGCTCAACACCGTATCATTCAAGATATTGGGTTTAATATTCAGTGAAAGTCACCTATAACTTGAAAATATGAACTGAGGTCCCTGAATAATTGAACTCATAGCCATATAGAGTCTCATTTGAACTCTTGCATGAACTTTTCCATTAGCTTGTGCCGCATGTTTTGCTTCTTCAGACGCGAAACCACAGTCTAGTCTGAAAACAGTGAGCGCTGAAGCCTTTACTTCTGTTCGCTTGCCTTTTGAAATCATTTGAATGTGTAGATTTACAGAGAAGGACTGCAGTGCACACACACACACACACACACACACACACACACACACACACACACACACACACACACACACAGCAAGCTTTATGGTTGCTGAAGTGAAATCCAATTACACTGTTAACGCAGCGAGACACTGAGGCAGACGGTGTGAGACTCGTTCTGTGTTGCGGTTTCACACACACACACAGAGACTGAGACATGCTGTCACACACACACACACACACACACACACACACACACACACACGTTCTCCTAGAGCAGCACAAACACTTCTCCAGACAGAGGACAACCTTAAAACATGCCTTTATGTGCATGATGGAGAAATACAACAGATTACATTTTTTTAAAAAGCATTTGCAACTTTGTGCATTAATGAATGTGGTGTTTATTATAAAGCATAATCTCTACATAAGATAATATAGTGTCATTGAGTTCAATTCAACAACTTCATTTGATATTTTGAAGTGGATTTGTGCTTGAAGGTGAAGCAGTGATAAAGCTTCTTTTCAAATATTTGCTATTTTTGCAGTATTAAATAAGTTAATCAGCATTTGTATTAACTATTGGCCATAATTTAGTAGTATATGCAATGGTTAAATAGATATGTGACTAAAATGTACATTATTCAATCATGTCTGAATTTAGAGGTTTTTTGATGGAAATATGTATTTTTTCTGAATAATGTGCACTTTTATTATAATAACACCAGGAACATGTGTTAAGAAATGAAGTTGTTGACCCTACATGTAATGGGCCTTTTCCAGGATAGACGTACTCCAAAAGTTTGGGATCGGTACGATTTTTTATGTTTTTAAGGCTGCGTTTATTTGATTACAGTTTTTTTTACAATCACTTTGTTACTATTTTCAGAACCTTGATGTCATTTTTCACAACTCTAGACACAAAAATCACAACCAATGATCAAAATGCACATTTTTCAAAACTCTAACCCTTTTCTCAATTGCTTGGATACAATACACATAAAACTTAGATCATTTGTTCACTCAACACAAATCCCCTGTTCAATATGACACAACTTAACATCACAGTGCTACTATTTCAAAAGGCAATTCACACATTACATTTCAAATGAGTGTCTATTCATTTCCTTACTATGATCTACCTATCATTTGATACAACTGCTCAACATGATAAGTAACTGTTGCGTTACTCTTAATGCATAGACACACAATCTTCCATGTTTGCAGTAAATCATGACAGTTTCAAGATAACGAGATTCATTGTCACCAATTAGCGTGGAGCATGAACCAATTACACTACAATATCCATGGATGTAGCCTACAGTAATATTTAATATTTTTGCTTTGATTCCAATAAACCTGTGTTGTGATTGTACTGTAGTGTTTTGCATCAATATATTACACACTTTGTTCAGTGATTCCACTATGTGTGTATTCTCTCTACGACTGCAGTGCGTTCACAGAGATGTGTTTACTGTACATGTAGACCATAATGAAACCTGGATCACCTATTTTGTTCTACAATATTTAATGATTGTACGAACAATGACACAGTGAAACTATCGGTTGCGTGTGTGTGGGTGATCTATAGTTATGTTTCAATGGTATTTCAGTAAATTTGTTTTTTGAAACAATGATTGTGCAAGTGCAAGATTTCTTTAAAGATGTGAATGCACAATGCAGTGTTTTGAACATTAGACAGCCTGTGTTACAAGTGATAACCCTTGTGAGTTTTGTGTCTAGAGTTTTGAAACATGACATCAAGGTTCTGAAAATAGTAGCAAAGTGATTGTAAAAAACTGTAAAAATACAAAAAAATACAGTAAAAATTGTGAATTATTATTCCAATTTAAAATTTAATTTATTTTAAAATGTAATTTATTCCTGTGATCCAAGCTGAATTTTCAACGCTATCTCACGACCAATTCGTACATGCGATTAAAGGTTTGTATGACCTCACTCACTCGTACGAATTCGTACGATTGGTCTAAACCCACGTGATGGGTAGGTTTAGGGGCGGGGTCAGGGGTAGGTCATTCATACGACTCGTATTCAAAAATCGTATGAATTTTGTATGAGTGAGGTCGGATGAATTCGTACAAATTACGCACTTTTTAAAATGTGATGACCATATTAGGTCCCAACTTTCAAAAACTCACAAGAACAGAAATCTTGGCTTTGTTTAGCAAACAGTAGCTCTGTGGAATTTCCCGCACGTTAATTCTGACCAATCGAAGTGCAGTTATGGAAATACGTTCAAGACACATGATCTGGCCAACGAGTGATGTGGATGTGGTGACTGCATTTTGGTTCGTTTCATCAACTCATCAATTGTTTCGGACCAGAGCAATCAGTGGTGTGAAAAGGAACCAAAATGCCTGAAAAATGCTACAAAATATTATTTTTTGCCCTTGGTCCGGACCAAATTTGAACCGAACTACAGATGTAAAGCAGGAGTTCCTCCACAACCACCCAGAATAACATCGCAATAGCTTAGCAACATATTAAATCTTTAGCTACTGTAAAAGGATATGTATTGTAAAAAAATTAAATAATAATAATAAAACGCTATAGGTGAATTGAACGTAATTGAATTATCACGAGCCCTAGCGACGCTACGTTTCTGCTCCAGTGCTGCACTTGTGAGACGAACCCTGAGTGTGTGTGTGTGTGTGTGTGTGTGTGTGTGTGTGTGTGTGTGTCAGCATCAGCGAAACCAAACAGCAGCAGGCAGCGCCAGAGACAGAGACAGTGTGTGTTCCGTCTCTCACACACAGACACGCACGAGCGCGAGCGCGAGCGCGCGCTGACACACACTCTGGAAGAGCATCTCTGATCGTGCGTGTGAAGGAAGAGGGTTTTATGTGGTCCGCGTTTCTGATGCCAGTGGTAAACACACACACACACACACACACGCGCGGGCTTGAGGACACGTATGGACTCGGTCGTGTGACTTATGGACAGATATGAATGAGGAGGTGACGGCGAGCAGGAGCCGAGGAGACACACAGATGAGGACACAGCCAAGACCTGGGTGAGTAAACTTCACACACACACACACACACACACACACACACACACACACACACGCACGCACACACGCACGGGTGAACCCTGAAGCCGAGATACCTGTGGAGCGCGTGGGTGAACACACTGAGGTTATGCAACATTATCCGAGGCTCTTCTGAGCAGGAGTGTGTGTCGCCGTCATCCTGGATGCTGTGAGGAAACAGGGGAAGTTTTGTTTGGATAAAGTGAGCCGACTCTCGTCACCCAGCCTGTGTGATGTTGTTCAGGCGTGTATTATGGCTCTTTCTATTGTAACACACTATATTGGTGAGAGATTGAGCTCCAGAGAGTCATGTTCAAGTCTCTGTCTCTCTTCTAGAAATCAGAGTAAAAGCAAACGCACTCTTCAGGACAGAAGGTTGTCGCCCGGAACACATTTCATCATGACCAGATTGTATGACTCAAAATTAATTTTCACACAAACTCGTGTTTATGCAATGCATTGATGTCAACAAATAACGTGGGCCTCATTTAAAGGCAAAAAATTAACGTTAAAAAAAGATCAAATAAAGATAAAAAACCGAAACATGAAAATTAGTCTTGTACTGTGTGTGTGTGTGTGTGTGTGTGTGTGTGTGTGTGTGTGTGTGTGTGTGTTAGTTTTAATATGTCTTGTAAACATTTATCTTTTCTGCTTTGAGGATTTTAAGTTCAGTATGTGTATATTAATAATTGAATCAAATATTTATACATTTAGTCTCCAGCTTAAAGGAACATGCAACAGCAACTTGTTAGTCCATTTCCTCCAGTGTAATCCATGTGAGTGATTATTAAAACAGTAATTAATCACATTCGGTTATACTGGAGGAAACCGTGTTTGGAGACACTCGCGCTGATTTTTACTGTAAAGCAATTTTATTGTGTAATGTTCTATATAAATGAAGTTTGCTTGACTCGATGGACAGGATAATGAGTAATGGCACAATGGAGGCACTTTCTTTTCTCACATGACATTTCATCTATATTTCTCAGTTCATGCTTTCAGTGATTTAATGCTGTCTTCAAATGCTATCAGAATTATCGTAAATATTATAATAAAAAATATAGTTTTTCCTCAACAGCTACAGTACATCGCCTTGTCTTGCCGTTAAAGTAGTGCATATTTACATATATGAGTAACCATTTCAGGCATATTGTATGTTTTATACACTATAACTTGTAATTTAGGGCTGCACGATATTGGGAATGCAATATAGGGTAGAGTGGGGGAAAACACCCCCCTTAAGGAAAATGTGACATTACTGTGAAACAAAACATAAATGTGACTAGAATTGCCATCCCAGTTTTGAGTGACTATGGCAGGAGTTATTTGCCAAATATTAAAATTGCTCAACCTTCATAATTTTTTTTTTTTTTTGACTGAAAATATTTTTGTACAAAGGGGGCGTTTTGCCCCAGCGGTGGGGTAAAACGCCCCCCAAGGTGGGGTAAAATGCCCTCTTTCTTACCAACCAGTTTGCTTAATAGATCAACAGCAAAATTAATATAGTTTTTAATCTCTAAAAGTAAAAGGCAAGTAATGCAACAACATGAATACCTATTAATATTTATTTCAGGAATGTACAAAATAGCCAAATTTCTAACATTTTAATATTTTGATTTCTACACTAGGCCTATAAGGGGTTGATAATTGATGTAGTATTTGTTCACCACTATCATCAAGAAAAACAGAAAACCCTAAATAAATATGAAACATAAATAAGTATATTTATAGTGAAATATATTCAATAAATGCATTAAAAGCCACTATGGTGGTTAGGTGGTTCACCTAACCACCTTCCATCATTACATCCACCAAGCTAGCTAGCTAATGCTCACTTGAGGTAATTGTTTCATGTTTTGTTCACATATTGTGATTTTAACGCCTAGTTACACTGCATTAAAGTGTAAAATAAAGACTTTGATAAACAGAAATATGTTACTGTAGTAATTATGATAAAGAGAAACTATGCCCCTTGGGGGGCGTTTTACCCCACAAGCTATGTCTTTAAAAAAAAAAAAATATATATATATATATATATATAATTATATTCCTTATAAATAACATATGCTCTCAAACTACAGACTTCACTATTCATCTATCATAAATCACTGTGATATCACTGTGAACAATATTCTATTAAACACTTGTTTACTAATATCTGAAAATTATAGCACTTTCCATGTAATCCTCTTCTCTTCAAATTCGTCGCTGGTGTTTGTCAGCTTCTCCATGGAGACTTGTATATCCCCGTTGTCAACGTAGTGCATAGCAATAGTAAAAATGTATCTTGATTCATTCTAGTGGTTATTTTGGGAAAAACGGGTGGGGGGCGTTTTACTCCAGGGGGGGTATTTTCCCCCACTCTACCCTACCTATTTTGTTTTTTTTGCGATATATATTGCGATATGAAAACAATTTCGACAGATGACTTGAACAGCTCTATTTGGAAATTTCTAGAATCATAGGGGTGATTTTGTAGGGGAGTGAATCTGCGTTTAAAATAATGAACAAATCATATTACAATAGAACAAAGATACAAATTAAATAAACAGTGCTTTATGTTTTTCAAGCAAGTCTTACTGTATTCAGGTACAGAAATGGAATAATCAAAGGTAAAATAACATAGTCTTCACTGTATACATTAATATAATTAATCTTTGTTAAAGCTACAAAAAGATTTTCTCTTTGTATTTTGTTGTTTGATTAAGATTAATGATGCAGGAATGTTAGGCTGCTGTCACTTTAAGAGTAAATGCACGGATCCAATATAATGATACGCATTCGTTTTTTTCTCTCAATTTTTTGGTTCACGTAAGCCATAAGCGACTGTGTTTACACTCGGTGAGACGGGCATTTTGATTACGCGTGTGTGTGTCCGTTCAAGCACACATAGAGAAGAAAAGGGAATTCGGTGTGTGTGAATTGAGTTCTCTTTCGCATCTTATTGCGCTTGATTGCTTTAAAATTGCTTGCGCGTTGAAACTGGCAGCAAACGATAAACTTTGGTACTTTCCTGTTATCCGGACCCCACGATGGCCTACCCCTAACCCCGCCCTTAAACCTACCCGTCACTGGGGTAGACCAATCAGGGACGATGGCCTACGCCTAACCCCGCCCTTAAACCTACCCGTCACTGGGGTAGACCAATCAGGGACGATGGCCTACCCCTAACCCCGCCCTTAAACCTACCCGTCACTGGGGTAGACCAATCAGGGACGATGGCCTACGCCTAACCCCGCCCTTAAACCTACCCGTCACTGGGGTAGACCAATCAGGGACGATGGCCTACCCCTAACCCCGCCCTTAAACCTACCCGTCACTGGGGTAGACCAATCAGGGACGATGGCCTACGCCTAACCCCGCCTTTAAACCTACCCGTCACTGGGGTAGACCAATCAGGGACGATGGCCTACCCCTAACCCCGCCCTTAAACCTACTTGTCACTGGGGTAGACCAATCAGGGACGATGGCCTACCCCTAACCCCGCCCTTAAACCTACCCGTCACTGGGGTAGACCAACCAGGGACGATGGCCTACCCCTAACCCCGCCCTTAAACCTACCCGTCACTGGGGTAGACCAATCAGGGACGATGGCCTACGCCTAACCCCGCCCCTAAACCTACCCGTCACTGGGGTAGACCAATCAGGGACGATGGCCTACCCCTAACCCCGCCCCTAAACCTACACGTCACTGGGGTAGACCAATCAGGGACGATGGCCTACACCTAACCCCGCCCCTAAACCTACCTGTCACTGGGGTAGACCAATCAGGGACGATGGCCTACCCCTAACCCCGCCCCTAAACCTACCCGTCACTGGGGTAGACCAATCAGGGACGATGGCCTACACCTAACCCCGCCCCTAAACCTACCCGTCACTGGGGTAGACCAATCAGGGACGATGGCCTACGCCTAACCCCGCCCCTAAACCTACCCGTCACTGGGGTAGACCAATCAGGGACGATGGCCTACCCCTAACCCCGCCCCTAAACCTACCCGTCACTGGGGTAGACCAATCAGGGACGATGGCCTACCCCTAACCCCGCCCCTAAACCTACCCGTCACTGGGGTAGACCAATCAGGGACGATGGCCTACCCTTAACCCCGCCCATGGTCTGTTCACCCTACTTTATTTGACCGAAATTCCAGAGTTATCAGCAAACTGACTAATACTTTACAGATTGGTCGTTTATGTTTATATGATTGTCAACGAATGGGTTGCTACATTTTATAAAAAAAAAAAAACGTTGGATTAAATATCTTAAATGTATTTTGGGTTTAATAAGATTTCCCGAAGTTACCTCAAGCACTTATTTAGTAAGATTATGCCTGTAAAGGTATTTTTATCATATGTTAATTAAAAAAATCTTGTATAATATGACTTGCTGTTTTTGTTTGGTTGGCTTTTATTGTATTTATAAGATATTTGAATTTCTCTAATTAAATTTTGCCATGAAAATAGCCATGGATGCTGACATGGCACTAAATAAAACAATCTGAATCTCAATAAGATTTCCCCAAGAAAAAAGTGAGAATAATTCATGTGAAGGCAGCAAAAGATCTCGATGAGTGTACACGGTGTTGGACTATTCAGTCTCATTTCTTGTCATATTTCTTTTGTACTGTTGATAATTGTTTTAGCCACTGTCTCCCTTGGTGAAAACAGCCCCAAATGAAAGTAATTATGAGTTATATGAGACGGCCCAGACGAACATTTTATTGCTTTGAGACTTGTGTTTCAAATTTGGCAGATCTTACTTAGAATCAATTAGATGTCAACTTTGTCTCAGATGCCAAAAAATCCTCTTGCGAAATAATAAAAAATATCAATATTTAGTAAGAGTGTAGAATTTTAAAAGCTCTGATTATTTGATGAGAACTGTTTGAGTGCATATTGAGATCTCAGGGTTCGTAATGGTGAGCATCGTTTGAGCCATTGTTGAGAAGATCTTAAACTCAAGATGAGATGCATGATATTACTGG